AGATTCTGGTAACTAAAAATGTGGAAGTGTTTATAGTATTAATGTACTATATTTTTTGCCAATCTGAAAAAAATAAAATTGGTATAATTTTAATTCACACTAGACAACTATTGTTATGTTGACTGTTATCATCTTTTTACTTGATAATCTAAGGAAAAAGAGGTCAGTGTCCCTAACTAAATAGTCAGGTACTGCAAGTTTTAAAAATTCTTGCAGCACACTGGTTGAAAATCGCTAATCTGCCCAGCCAGTGGCTCAGATTTATAGATCAAGAGCATGTGCCCGGGTTGTGGGCTCTGCAGGAGACAGCCGACCACTGATTCTCTATCATGTGTGTGTCTCTCTCTCTCTCTCTCTTTCTCTCTCTCTCTCCTCCTTCCTGAAATCATTAAAAATATTTTTTTAAAAAGAAAATTGCTCATATACATACAGTAACTAATCATACCTTCTCTTTCATGTTTTCAAAAGTTCCTCCCTGAGCCAGTACAGTATTGGACTGCAAATCGAAAATGAATCCTGATGAATCTGAAAGAATGAGAAGGAAAAATATATTCAACAATATCTAAAACTGACATGTGATCATCTTCCAAATAGAAGGGCTTTAAACAGTTAACAACTTATGTACTTTGCAAACTCTATTATATAAATAACTGATAACTACATTTGAATTAAGATTATAGAAATAAAGTTTTATTTTAATAGAAACTGTAACAACTTAAGAAAAACACTAAATACATCAACTATATTAAACTGTCCAGTAATCTTTGATATCTGTTAACTATCTTAATTTAAAAGGCCCTCTATAAATGTTGCAAGTCAATGGCTCCCCAAAGTAAAATTTAACACTAACAAATCTGAAAATGTGAGTGAGGATGAGAGCTCCTGTGGCATTAACAATAACACATGAAAGTAATTTCAGTTTTCTAGAGTGCACCACACACATCATGTTTTTAGACTATTAACTCCATGAATACATTCATCAACCTAATGCTTGACAATCAATGTGCTGGAGTTTACATCACCAGCACAACTCGGGAAAACTTAAGTTTACTGTGATTTATTACAGAAAAGAGTTTGGCTTCTCAGCACTTATAAAGAAAAGGCTATCTGCAAATTTAATCCATTTCTTTACCTGAGACCATGTCATCAATAAATTACTTCCACTTTAAACACTTAACAACTTTGTTTTAATCTAATGAGATGCAATCCAGGAAATGGTTACACTGTTTCTCAGATTATGATGTATATACTTATCTGGGCATTTTTAGCTTAAAATGTAGGTTCTGATTTAGTAGTCTAGCCTGTGGCCTGAGATTTTTACTCCCTGGTGGTATCAACATTGCTGATCCATGCACCATACTTGGGAGTAGTTCGGGGTTTAGAATTACAACAAAGCAAGGAAAAGGGAAAATTTTTTTAAAAGGGGGTTGCCATGGTCTAAATGTTTGTGCGCCCTCCCCGCCCCCATTCATATGTCAAAATTCTAAAGTGATGGTATTAGTGATTGGGGCCTCTGGAAGGTAAATAAATCCTGAGTGGAGCCCTCATGAATAGGATTAGTGCTCTTATAAAACTGACAGCACAGAGCTCCCTAGCCCCTGCTACCATGTTAAGACGCAAGAAGTCTGCCAGCAAGAACAGGGCCTTCACCCAACCATTTGACACTCAGATCTCAGACATTCACCCTTTAGAACTGTGAGAAATTAATTTATGTTGTTTATAAGCCATCCATTTTGTTATAGTAATCTGAAAGGACAGGGGTTTAAAAAAATACAGCAATATTCCAGTACATTTTCCAAATTCTTTTTCTATTATAACAGATGTATTTCAATTAAAGCCTCTTTTACAGCTCAGTCTTTATCCTGTGTTTTCTAATACCTCCTAGTTGCTATGGAAGATTGATAAGTTAAAATGACAACGCATTTTGGTACTAAAAGTGGAAAAGAGGATATGAATACAATGTATGTCATTCCAAGAGAAACTATGCTTGCCAATTACCAATGAACCGTGAATTCATTTACATTTAACCTCTCTGTAATACTGGCAGTTTTGAGACTGTTAACAAATAAAAAATCAGACTGCACTTACACAAACTCAGTACTTAAACCTGAGTTTTCCAGATGACTACATAATATGATTAATTCCCAATTATCTATAATAATCTATAATAATAAAAGTATAATATGCTAATTAGACGAGACAGCCAAACGACCTTCTGGATGTCATTCCGGACAAAGCTGTGGCAGCAGGGGCCGAGGCAGAGGTGATTAGGGGTGATCAGGCAGGCAGGTGAGCAGTTAGGGACAATCAGGCAGGCAGGAGAGTGGTTAGGGGCGATGAGGAAGGCAGGCAGAGGGGTTAGGGGCAATCAGAAAGGCAGGCAGAGTGGTTAGGGGCAATCAGGCAGGCAGGCGAGTGGTTAGGGGTGATCAGGTAGGCAGGCAGAAGTGGTTAGGGGTTACCAGGCAGACAATCAGGGGCGTCAAGCAGGCAGGCAGAGTGGTTAGGGGTGATCAGGCAGGCAGGTGAGCAGTTAGGGACAATCAGGCAGGCAGGTGAGTGGTTAGGGGCGATGAGGAAGGCAGGCAGAGGGGTTAGGGGCAATCAGAAAGGCAGGCAGAGTGGTTAGGTGCAAAGAGGCAGGCAAGCATAGTGGTTAGGGGCAATCAGGCAGGAAGGCAGGCAAGCGGTTAGGAGCCAGTGGTCCCGGATTGCGAGAGGGTGCAGGCCAGGTTGAAAGACTCCCTGGCCCCCCACGTGCAAGAATTTCATGCACTGGGCCTCTAGTCTTTAATAATTGAAGAGACACAGTACATACAATGAAAATCCTATATAGCCAAAATGCTATCTAACAATCTTTTCAGAATTGCTGTAGGTTAGCCAAATGAGATATTAATAAGCAGTGAGATGATACCTAGGAATTCAATTATCTTATTAGAGAATCAAACCACCAATCTTTTTTAGGGAAAAGAGGAGACACAAAGTAAAGCAACATTTCAGTGTCTATCTTAAAATGAACTATTAGTATTACTAGCTTCTTATACATCATCTAACACTTTCTTTTCTTTAAATGAAATTAAGTGCAAGGAAAACAAGAGTAGTTCTGCAAACACTTTCAGTTATTATCCCCTCAAAATTAGCACAGTATTATTAGAGTTTATCTGGCATACCAATTAGGATAATGGTTAAAAATACATAGGGCAGCTATTTCCGTCAGGATCACAGTATGAAACATACGGCACACTCAGATCAGGAAAACTGAGGAGAGTTTTTAAAAAAGACTATTTTATAAGGTGGTATTAGGGAGTAGGGAAACCACAAGATGCAGTGCGGTTACCCCTTGGCTAATAGCAGCAATGTGCATTGCTACCCTGATGTTTTGAAGAGGCATAAGGAGACAGCAATTACTGGAACCCAGAGACAGAGGGCTTTTTCATCTTCGTTTCATCTGTTGTGGTAGGGCAATAGGACAGTAGCTATAACAGTGGTTCTTAACCTTCCTAATGCCGTGACCCTTTAATACAGTTCCTCATGTTGTGGTGACCCCCAATTATAAAATTATTTTTGTTGCTACTTCATAACTGTAATTTTGCTACTGTTATGAATCGTAATGTAAATATCTGATATACAGGATGTATTTTCATTGTTACAAATTGAACATAATTAAAGCATAGTGATTAATTACAAAAACAATAGGTAATTATATGTTTTCCGATGGTCTTAGGCAACCCCTGTGAAAGGGTCATTTGACCCCCAAAGGGGTCGCCACCCACAGGTTGAGAACCGCTGAGCTATAACCTTTGGTCAAAGGTCACAGTAAGCCCAGTGACCCCTCAGGGAAAGACTAGGGAAATAAATATCCCTACCTCACTCTCCTCCTTGCCTCAATGCTACCCAATGGCTAAACCCAACCAGAAGCCCAAGGGCAAGAGAGCCCTTAAGGGAGTATTTATCTTTTCAATAATGAGTTCACCAAAAAGGGAAAACAATAGTTTAACATCTTAACTTCTCTATTCACCAGCTATATTGCCTCTTAAACCAACAAATCAAGTACATTCATATCTTGTATCAAAGAACTAGAGCTTAAGTGCCTTTCAGCATTACAGAGAAAGTTATTTTTAATTCCAATCAACAATATTTAATGATTTAACAATTCTCTTATTTTTACATGCAAAGAAAGCCCAAGATTTATTTAACTTCATTGGTAGAAAAAAAGGAAGGATCTCATCCTGTGACTGAAGAGCATGCATACTCTATCAGAAATAAATTTTTACAGCAAAACAAAATGCAGTTGAATACTATTATCAGGTAAGATTCATAAAGGATATGAGGAACACTTGAGATTGAGTTTTCTTTTTATCATTTATTTCCCTCTATTAGGAACATTTTGGAAAAAGTATGTTCTTTACAGTATCACTGACATATTTGTAAATACTGCAGGCTTTGTTATTATTGTTTTTGCTGGATTAAAAATTAAGGCAAAAGTTATTTTAGGCATTGAGAATGATATAGAAATGTCTGAGTCTGATTATACCATATAGCAAACTAACCACGAACAGGTTTCTTAATTTAAGTATAATTAACATTTATATAATACTAGAGGCCCGATACATAAAATTCATGCATGGGTAGGGTCCCTAGGCCTGGCCAATGATCAGAGCCCATCTGTGGGGTGACTGGCAGGGCAATTGGGCCCCGCCGCCCTCCCCCCTGCCTTGGCCAGTCTGGCGCCGCCTGCTTACCGGCCCCGCCCCCTGCCACCGCCAGTTGCCTCCCTCTGCCTGGGGCCTGTGGGCAGCCCCTGCATTGAGAGCCTGCCCCCTGGTGGTCAGTGCCTGTCACAGTGACCAGTCGTTCTGCCTTCGGTTGATTTGC